ACTCATAATTTAAGTAGGAAACTTGGTATTTTCTTTGAAATGCAATTTTCTTTTTGTTGGCAGCCTTAGAGTCTTTGGCTGTCTCATCATTTGGGTCTTTTCCCCTTTCAAAGAAGCTCTCTAGTAATGTTCAGTTTTTACTCATTTTGGCCAGGGTTAGCTTGTAGGCTTAGTAATACTGTGACTGACACAAGTGTGTAGTGCAAAAAAGAGATGCCACTATAGAGTCTGCCACAAAATGCAGCTTGTCACTTGCTTCTCACTGATAGGCTCTTGCTATGAGTATGCAAGCAGTTGATTTATTATAGTTTCTGTGTAGCCAAATGTCTCTGCTAATATCAATCTCTATTTGCAGCCACTTTCCAATGCTAGCATCACCACCTCAGCTCCTCCTGAGGATCACACAACCTAGATTCTTCTCATGTGCAGTTCACAGTAGGGTTTCAACTTCTATGAGAATCGAATGCCTCTGCTGTGCTGACAGGAGGTGGTGCTCAGATAGTAATGCAAACAATAAGAAGCAACTGTTTAAAACAGATGAAGTTTCACTTGCTCACATGCTGCTCACCTCCTGCTATGTGGCACAGTTCCTACCAGGTCACAGACTGGTACCAGTCCATGGCCTGGAGATGGGAACCCTGAACTATAGTACTTAATTTTTGCCTTTCTTGGTTTCAATGCTAAGTCATATTCTTTTCTATCTTCCAAGTCCTTCCTTTTACAATAATTACCCTATGCCATTGTATCTTGAGATCATGTAACTTATTTTTTATTTCTACAGGGATTCACAGTTAAGAGTTTGCCTTGTATCTCAGAAAAGACTTGAACTTTTGAAAAATTCTAGAACTGTTGAGATTTGGGGAAAGGGATTATTGTGTTTTCAGTTATATGCAAGACAGTTGTATCATATTAGGTGAAATTATGATCTTGTGTTTATTTGGGGATTAAGTATGGTTCAAGGAGATGTGTTTGGATGTCAAGTTGACAAGGGGCAGAATGGGATGGTTAACCTCGAATGTGTCATGTTGATTGGCTTGGGAGCTGCCCAGGGGCTTGATGGAGCACCCTTCTGGGCATGTCTAGTGGGTCACAGAGTGTGACCTTGGGTACTATAACTGGTCCCTTTCCCCTTCCTCTCTGGTGCTCTTTCCCTGTTTTGCTTTCCAGCCATCATGAATTAAACAGCTTTGCTCCACCATGCCCCTCTGCCATAAAGTTCCTGCCTTGGAACCAGTAAATCATAGACTGAATCTCCTGAAACCATAGCTAAATTAAACCTCTCTTTTAAGTTGTGGGTGTTGGGTACTGTATTCTGGGAATAGGAAAGCTGACTAATACAATGCCAAACCCTGAGTCTAGTGACATCACATTCTTTGTTTGAAATTGGCCATTGTGGGAATATACACAATGGAAATCAGCCAACATCACAAAGCAGGGCTTGATTTATTATTTTGTTGATTGTTTGGTCCTAGGAAACTAATAAAGAAAATGTTAACAATACATATTAAACTTATATTAAAGTGTGTGCCATCTAAAGTCATTATATCTTTAAGCAGTGAAAAAAATCTGAAAATATGTTTCTAAATTCAAAAGCTATTACTCAATTCAACAAGAAGTCTTTCATACCAATAAAATGCGTGAAAGTTTGATACACATTTTGGTTGTTTCATTTTTATCTACCTCATAAATGAAAGTGAAAATATCAACAAGCATGCATGTCACAACTACACTCATTCATCATTTGCAGCCATAGATTGTCCATGGATGAGAGAGTTTGGCAAAAATCAACAAAAATGTTCTGGGAGAATCAACTGGCTATATGACATTTATAATAAAATTTACCATATACTTTATTTGTAAATTGGGTGCTATATTCCTTTCTATTAGTAAGTTGGATAATTTATTTATATACATACACATATATGCATACAATTATTTTCATCAGGTCAGCTGTTAAACACAAGACTATTACTGATCTTGTTTTCACCTCAGCACAAGCATATAATAACATATATTACATAGGCCAGGGATTTAGCCCAGTGGTTCCGTCGCCTGCCTCGCAAGCGCAAGGACCCGAGTTTGATCTCCGGTACCGAAAAAAAATTTTTTAATTAAAAAAAAATAATAATAATAACATATATTACAAATGTTTCACAGAAAAGTTAAGTAACTTGCTCAACATCTGAGCTATTTCCAAAGCCCACGCTTTTGCCCATCACATGCTAGGAGCACTTCCTCCCAACTCGGATTTCTTACAACCATGGAATTCCATGCTAGAGGCATGATGCTAAGTGAATCACATGAGCCAGTGTTTCTCGCACTCCCACTTTACAGTGAGGAAAACTGAGTCTCCAAGAAGGGCAAGAGTCTCTCCCAAAGTCAGCAGATGGTTGGTGCCTGGGAGATGGGACATGTTCTCATTAGGAGCTTCACCTCTGCTCTAGTAGGCACTCAGGGTGGCCTCTTTCTCTCTACATTCACTATCCTCCAAGCACCCAGGGAGTCTGCCACAGAGGCACCCAACAAATGTTGTCCCAGTGAAGCCAGTGTCTTACTGCACATACTCAGGCTATGGGACATCAAACTATTTTCTCTAAGTCACATAAAATTCTCCCAAGCCTGTATCCAACTAAACTAGTGAAAACTCTGTCTCCACTATTCTTGGCTCAGTAAGAGAAGAGCCCAGAATGACTCATTGAGACCCAGCAAATGGGAAGAAGAAGCTCTCTGGTTGCCCCCTTGTTGGGGTTGCCCTGTGGCCTCACTGGGAATCATTGTAGGTGTGGCGGGCTTCAGCCACTAGGTAACCCAGGAAAGCAGAGGCTCCCAGGCATGCAGCCAGATGCACACACACGTTCATACACCTCTGAACTCTGATACCAGCACAGAGAAACACACACTCACATTCTGCTCATGCAGCACAGACTCACACCGTCAGCACACCGGACACACACCAAGCTAGAGATCCCAAACACACATCTCATGGACACACATCAACACAGCCACCCCCGGCACAGGTGTGCTTTTGATGACTCCACACTCCCACACACAATGACCCAGGCACAGACGCATGCTGAGGTCCCCACAAAAACACATAACCATACTCACAAAAACGTGCACACCTCCTTATAAGCACATCAGAACCATACACTGTCACCCTCAACAAATAGTGACCCAGGCCCCACACCCACATAGACACACACACTCCCACACGGGCTGATCGACCTGCAGAGACAGACGTATGCTCACATCTAAACAGCACAAACACACACACACAGCCTCACACACAAATGCAGATGAGCTTGCACACCCTGACACATGGCAGGACACTAATACACACGGCACACTCGTGGAGGAGCATGTGCACACTGTGTGTGCCCCGGCCGGCAGGCACCAGCCCGAAGATAGCCAGAGCCTGCCTGTTCCCTGGTCCATGCTGCCACACAGTGGAGAGAGTAGCCGCCTCCTCACACCCTAATCTGGCTGTGCCTGTCACGTGGATGACAACACAAAAATGTAGCTCGGGCGGGGGAGGTGGGTAGTGAGGAAGGGAAGGGGCAGAAGATGAAATAATAATACTGCTGGGTTTGTTCATTTCGGTGATAATTAGCGGTGCATTCACGCTGCCTCACCGGCCGCTCCCGGCTGATCCTGCGTGATGGATGCCTGGTGGTGCTGAATGCAAATTAGCATAATTTCATTACCGAGGGACCCGTGAAAAGGTTCAATTATAGAGCAATCTCATTAATACCAGGGCTTGTTAAACTAATAGAAAGAGACAGGCCCCGCAGCTCCAAGAGGGAGACAGGGGCTCAGAATGCAATTAATGCCAAGACTCCCATACCTAAGCCACGCCTCCCTCACCAGGACCCCCGCCAGTGCCCTGCACACATGGATTCCTAAAGGAACAGGGGCCCTGGCCTCCAAGGTCCAGATCCCGCGTAGGTCATCTGTCAGAGAAGCAGAAGATCAGGCTGCATCCACCCTCACTAAGTGTCTAGGTCAACATTACAGATGGGAGGGAGACAGAGGCCATGGTGAGGAAGTGACTTGCCCAAGGTGTCTGGCACAAATAAGGCAGCAAACAGCGGGTGGTCATACAGGAGAGGAGAGGTGATGCTCATCCCCCTGACATGTAATCCCTCAGGAGCCTTTCAACTGTGACTTAGGTCCTCCACTAGTATCAGCCGTGTTAGCTCGAAGCTCCTAGAGACAGAAACTCTGTCAGGGCCCTAAGCCACCGGAAGCCTTGGCCCATTTGAGGAAAAAGAAGCTCAGCACCATTCCCTTCACGCCACTTCCCTCCCTCCCATTCCTGCTGCCAGTGTACCAGTCGAGAAACTAGAGACTCGAAGAGACAGCTCCTCTCCTCCTCGGACTCTCAGGAATTGGATGGAAATGCTGGCTCCTTCTGCCTCAGGCGTAAGATCTCCTGGGAATGCTACAACCACCCACTTATCTGCCTCTAGCAAAAGTGGGTCGCACTAGACACTGGACCTGAGCCACTCTCCCCAAACAGCTGTCTGCAATGACCTCATGCCTCAGCTCTCTTCTCAACCCCGGCATTGCACACACACTGAGACGGGTCATATGACTTTGCTGTGTTTTTTATCACCTCTGCAATATTTAATTTTTTCTGCAATTGTAAGTAAAACAGCACAAGTCCCAAAATACCCCCAAGCTAGAGAATGACTCACACTGTACTTTACTGAACACATAAAAATATGCAGTGACTCAGAAGAGCCCAGCAGAAGTGACAAACCCCACAAAAGGGCCCATTGTTCATATTTTAAAGGTAAAGGCGGAGGGAGCAAACTGACTGAAAGCCCAGAGGACAGACTCCGGCTTGGGCCACTGACATTTGTCAAATGGCCCATCTGTCCTTGGTGTGCTCTGGTTCTCTTTATCTAATGACATAATGAAGCCAGATAATGTCATAGTAAGAGAAACCCACTAGAGACCTTGATCTCTATTTCCAACTGGGGTGGGGACAGGAGACCCTCAGAAGCAGCTGGCCCCCAGGGCCCCAAAAAGCTGGAGTGTCACCACAAAGCCACAGGCTTTCTGACCAGGCTGACACTCCTTCCCCCTGCAGGGGCCATGGCAGAACATAGAGGAAGGACACAAGGACTAAACAAGGCCTCAGGGACCCAAGGCCCTGGTTCCTTTGACGATGGTGACTGGTGGGTCCCTGCAGTCATATGATGGGGCATCAGGAAGGGCTCTGTGGGGCTGCACAATGGCAGGGGCCTGGAGAACCTCGCAGTGCCAGGAAGGGCTCTGGGGGCAGCAAGAGATGCTTCTAGCATTACCTGACCAAGAAACCAAGAGGGGGTGTAGTCCTCAAAGTCACAAAGCTCCCCGCCAGAAGCCCTGAAAACTCATAACAGACAAGATAGGAAGTAGGGAGGGTGTGTGAGTGAAATCTTCCTCTCTCAGGGCAGAAAGTCAATAGAGGCTGTCCCAAACTGATGAATAGGGAATAGCGGCAGAGAGGCACTACTCAGAGTTGGGGACATGGTGGGGAGTTAACATGAAGGCACCCACTGGGGAGGGGGATGGGCAGGATGGGGTTAGGGTTGAAGATGGGAGGCTGCGCTTCATGTAGGAGCCAAATAGTGCTATTTTAAGTATTTTGTTAATGAGCCTTTGTTTATGCTCCTTACTGTGCCTCTAATTCAAGCAGTCCCTGAGGACCCATAGGAGAGGCTATGGGGTATGGCCTGTGTGTACACACTGGCCCCTATCCCCTGCACCCTGCAGATCACTACCCTGCTGCCGAGACAGTGGCCCAATCTCTCTTCCACTTGGACCCCAAATTTTGTCATCTGCAAAATAAGCTCAAGTGAGAACACCTCCCTTTTGACAGCCTCACCTTTTGTGACAACAGAGCTTAAAGTCAAAGGATCCAAATTCTATTCTGCTTCTGCCACTTCCTAGTATGTAACTTTGAACAAGTCACTCAACCTTTCTGTGTCTTTCTCCTGTCTAAGGTAAGCGGGCAAATGGGTGCTTATTCATGGGGTTACTGCCATTGGTTCCTTGCTTCAGGCTCTCTGGACTCATGAGACACCCCTCTGCCTGCACTTTTCATTGTCTCCCTTCCCTCTCTCTCACCCCTACTCTCAGAGACCGCTGGCAGGAAGTAAACTGAAAGTCTGAACTACTGTGAACCAAGAGATGGCAAGGGCAAGACCAGGAAGGGAGGTGCCCAGGAGACAATGAGCCCTGGACAGTGGAGGAAGGGCAGCAAAGATGGCTGGGACCACACGAACTCTTTGGGCTGTAACGGAATCCCATTCAAACTGGCTCAACCGAAAGGAGTCAACTGGCTCTTTTCACTCAGAGCCTAATACCATCTTCAGACATGGCTGAAGCCAGAAGTCGAAACAGTGTCCATAAGAACCTGCCTCCTTTTCCTTTCTAAGCTCTGCTCTTCTCCTTATTAGCATCAACCCCAGGCACTCTTGTTCAAAGTGATAGGAAGGATGGTCTTTGTGGTTCTGATTTCAGAAGCTCCTCCATCTCCTGGCCTGCCTAGCATCTCCCCAAAAGGAACTTTGATTGGTCCTCTTTAATCATGTGTGTAGTTCTGGACCAATCACTGCTTTCAGGCAGGTAAGGCATTCTGATTAGACAACTGGAGTCACTTGGCCTACCTTGTGCAGAGAACCTGATCTTTTGATTGTCAGACGCCCCACACACACACACACACTACCCTGGGAAATCACATGGAGGATGGAATAAATAGTCCTTCAAAAAGGGAGAGGAGGAAACAAGGGACAAATACATGACAGCCACTTCCTGTGCCAAGGTTCTTATCCTGGAGTGGGGTTTAGGGGAGGAGGGCATGATCTGTGCAGGTGGGAGAGACAGCAGGATAAGCATCAGAGACCTGCAGCAAGACAGGGGATTGGGTTGAGTCTGAAGGTGGAGAACATGGGTGATGGGGAGCTGGGGTCCCAAGAGCACTTCACAGTTTGGAGACCAACCAGATCCTGGGTCCCTGAGTTCCAAGACCATACGTTCCTGAGAAAGGCAAGTGGGACTCTGTAGGCCAGCTCAGCAGTCAGGCTCCTGGTCTCAGGTCCCCAACACCTGCTGGGCATCTTGATGAGGAACATGAGGAAGAGATTCCCAGCAGCCATTCCCTAATGCTGCAATGCGACTCCTCCCCCATCACCTCCCACTGCCCAGGCTGCAGCTCTTCCTGTCTTGGACCTTGGGTGGAAGGGGATCCCAATTGCCTGGTTTAATGGGTGCTCACGAGCTGTAGGCACTTTACTGCATAATTTCATCTCTTCCTTAGTTCAATTCTGACATCCCCATTGTGCAGAAAAGGAAATCAAGGCTCAGAGAGGGTAAATAACCTGCCTACAATCATATAGGATCAACCCTCAAAGCCTATTCTCTATTTTCTGCTTTATTTTTAATTATGTTTATATTTACTTAATCCAATACTTACATAGCTTTTACTGAGCCAGAAATTCTCCAGAGCACTGGAGCACGTACCATCCCATTCAATCTTCATTAAATCCTATCTTGCTGATAAGGACATTGAGGTACAGAGAAATTAAGCAACTTGTACAAGGCCATACAGCTAGTAAGTGGCAGGGCTATGGCCCCTGGCACGTCCTGCAGAGCCTGAACCTATGCCACCTATGCCTGATGGAGTCCCTGGGGGACCAGCAGGTGCCCCTCTGAGCTCAGCTCTAATGGCCAGCCAGCACAGTGAGCTTTTGCTGCATAGCTTCCACCTGGCAGCAGGAGGCGCTGCAGGGAATTTAGTGCCCAGCCTGCCTCAAAGGCCCTGAGAGACCTGGAACCCACATTCTCATTGCCTCAGTGTCTTTGCCTTTAAAGGGGCTCAGATTTGGGCAAAGGCACTTTGAGGCATGAGGAGAAAGGGTACAGGAGCTACAGAGGAAAACAGACACACAGCAGAGAGAGAGAGAGAGAGAGAGAGAGAGCTGTGTAGAGCGTGGTCAGCACAGACAGCTGGGCTACCAGCACACACAGTAAGGTGCATATCTCCTGCTGAGAAGAGCTTGAGACCACAGGACTGGGCTTCAGCAGCCCTCTGCAGGTCCCTCTGACCTTTCCCGGGCTGTGTGGGAGCTCAGGGTTCCCCAGCCTTTCCTTCCTCCAGGACAGAGGGAAAGGGGCAGAGTGGAAGAAACTGTTTGGAGATAAGGATGCTGCTGTCTCTTCCCCTAAGAGTACCTCAGCAGAACCAAAGCCCTTGCCACCAGCCCCGCGCCCACACTTGCCATGGCTCCCAGGTCCCCCAAAGAACACCTACATGTCCCAGATGACCTTGCAGCCTCCCCTCTTCTCCAGCTTGTGCCAAGGTACCTAACCCTGGCCTGCTCCCCTTGGGGTATCTAGTATGGCCTTTGATTCAGCTCTACCCTACACACAGAGCACCCTGCTTCCCACTACTGCCCCAGACCCCAAAGCCTCCAAAGCCATCTGCAGGCAGAGGGCTTCCAGGCTTTTCACTCACCAGGCCCCTCAGGCCCCTCCATCCTCTGACCTCCCCTAGCCACACTCCCATCCGTTCTCCTTCAGAGCTCTGCTCCCCAACCCTGGTTGTGAACTGAGCCCTCTCCAGTGCCCTCCTGTGGCTCAGTTTCTTCATGCGCATGTGTGAATGATTCTGTAGTGTCCAGGGTCAGGAGCACTAACATCAAATGAAGCATGCAGGGGATGATGGCACACACCTGTGATCCCAGCACTCTGGGAGGCTGAGTTGGAAGAATTGCAGGTGCAAGCCCAGCCAGAGCAACTTAGCAAGACCTTATCTCAAAATAAAAAATAAAAATGAGATGAGGTTCAGTGCAAAGCCCTGGGGAGCCAAGTAAAATGTCTAGAAGAGAGCCTAGAACATTGTAAGACCTCTAACAACATTGCTGTTGTGTTACCACCACCACTGTCTAGAAGCATGTGATAGATTGTATTTTCAAAATTATTTTCAGTATTGTGCTCTTAAAGAAGCTTAGCACTTACCATCCAAAGCTGAGAGAATTGGAGTCTGTTCCTCACTTCTGCACCAGAACCTCACTGAGAGTAGAGATGGTCTGTGACTTCTGAGGCAGGGCATGAGGAAGGCACAGCCTTTGGTCACCCACTTCCTTCCCCTGTCGTCACCTTCAGAGCCCTGGCCCCATGGACAGACCACAGGAGTGTGCTCCAGGTGCCTGCCCAGCTAAGATTCAACAACAGCCAACACCAACCACCAAGCACATGTACACATGGGCTCCCAACAATTCCAGAACCCAGCAGAATAATGCCCCCACCCTGAGACCTCCATGCCCTAATGCCTGGACCCTGTGCTCTGCTTCATGGCAGAGCGAGGACTTGCAGATGTGCCTAAAGGATGCTCTCACTGTGAGATGGAAGAGCAGCCTGGATGACAGCAGAAGAGCTCTTAGAAGCAAGGATCTGTCCCCAACTGCTACAGAGACCTGGCAGGGATGACAGCGGTAGAGAAATTTGGCCAGAAGAGGCAAGAGAGTCTGTAAAGAGGAAGGGATGGACCCACTGTGGCTGGCTTTGAAAATGGAGCATCAGAGCTGCAAGCCAAGGAGAGCAGTGGCCTCCAAGAGTTGAGAACTGCCAGTGAGGAAACAAGACCTCAGTCCCACAGTCTCAAGGGACTGGATTCTGCCAACAACCTGAAGGAGGGAGAAAGATTCCCCACAAGTTCAGCTTTGTAGGACTCTAAGCAGAGATGCAGTCAAACTACTGGACTTGAGACCTGGGAGAGCTGTACGAGGATGGGTCTGTGTGGTTTCAAACCTCTGGGTTCATGGTAATTTGTTTGGGCAGCAGTGGAAACTGCAGCAGCCTCCAGGTTTCCCTTCAGAGGCTCCAGACATCTTGGAGCAGAGAGAAGCTCCCTGCTCTGCCCTCTCTCTGTCCTTGATCCACTGAGGCTGGGAGCAAATAGTGGTTTTCAGCCCTTTCCTTGCACATCATGCAACTCTAGTAACTGGGTCAGGGACTTCCTCACTTTCCCCATGGGGGACCCTGTGTCCTCTGACTCACCAAGCCGCAGTTTACTCACCCAGAAAGTAAGAGTCCCGATGATAAATGAGGCAACCTGTCATGGCCGTCATAAGAAGGCCCTATGTTATTTTTTTCCAGTACCAAGAATTGAACCCAGGACCTTTTAATTTTTTATTTGGAAACAGTCTCAATAAGTTCTTAAGTTGCCCAAGCTGAGCTCCAACTTTCAATCCTCGTGCCTTGGCAGCTGTAATTTTTAAAAGAAAAAAAATTGATGACCAATTTATGTTATATACCACTTTTGTGAAATTAAATCCCTATGTTTTCACAATATGCAAGATATAAAAACAACATCTGCGTCCATCCGTGGACAAATGGGTAAAGAAAATGTGATTCACACACACGCAATGGGATACTATGCAGCCTCAAAACAGGAAGGGATTCTGCCATTTGCCAGGGTGTGGATAGACCTACAGGGCAGTGTGCTGAGTAAAATAAGCCAAACACAGAAAAGTAATTCCTCCATGACCTCCCTCAAATGGAATCTCAAATAAAAGTCGATTATATAGATAGAAATTAAAACTGGAGTTAACAGGCTAGGGTGGAGGAGGAAGCAATGAGGAAGTGCAGGTCAAAGGAACCAAATAGCAGAGATGTAGGATAATAAAGTTTAGAGTGCTTAGGTGTAACCTGAGGACTTTCCTTAATCATCTGTTGCACTCAGGAGTTTTGCTAAATAGATAGATTATAGCTGCTCTTGCCATTAGAGGAGAAAAAAATGAGTAATTCTGAATGATGACTACGTTGCTATTTTCCACCATCACAACCATTTTACTGCACACATGTATCCTGTAACATCATCTTGTATACCTTAAATACAGTCAGTAAAAATTTTTTTAAAATTATGTTGTGATAATGAGATGGCATCTCACATCTATTAACATAGCTATTATCAAATAAAAAATATTAGCAATAAAACAGAAAATAACAACTGTTGGAGAAATCATACCCCCATGCATTGCTGAGAAATAGTTTATTCCCTCCTATGAAAAATGGTATGTAGGTTCCAAAAATATTACACAGAATTACCATGTGATTTATCAGTTCCACTTTAGAGTACATACCCAAAAGAAAGCAGGGACTCAAAGAGCTATTCATGCACCCAAACTCATAGCAGCATTATTTTCAATAGCAAAAAGGTGGAAACAACCCAAATGTCCATCGATGGATGAATGGATTTTTTAAGACGCAGCATACCCATACAATTCAATGTTATTCAGACTTTAAAAGCAATGAAATTCTGACACATGCAACAATATGTATGAACTTTGAAGACATTATGCTGAGTTTAAAAAGCCACATACAAAGTAACAAATATCATTGATTCCACTTAT